CCCCCCCCCCCCCCCCCCCCCCCCCCCCCCCCCCCCCCCCCCCCCCCCCCCCCCCCCCCCCCCCCCCCCCCCCCCCCCCCCCCCCCCCCCCCCCCCCTCGTAACAATCCCCTATATCCATCTATGTTATGCTGTGCACCTATATATCGATCTCTTTGCTTGAATGGTAGGTTTCTGGCCTCATAATAGGGTAACACCACGAGAATACGTCCTCTGCGAGACCTCTCTGGATATCCTGGATTGCCTTGGACAACTTTGTGGCACACTGGTAGCTCCCTTCTACCGTAGGTGTATACACAAACTTCTCCCCACGAGCCGTTCTCGTTATTGAACTAATGGGCACCACCACGGCCGCTGTACCGACAGCCAAGATCTCCGAAAATTCGGACAACTCTTCGTATTTCACGGGTCGGAGCTCAACCTTCCATCCAAATGAACGTGCCAGCTGAAGGCAGCTCTCGCTGGTGATGCTTCGGATGATATTCGGACTATCCGGGGTGACTAATGTGACATCCTCGCCCATCTGTTTGACGCCGATAAACCCTGCGGCAGAGAACTCGTCAATTTCGGATCGGGTTTTGCTATCCAGATGCAGAGTGATTCCATAGCCTTGTGACTTCGCCTGCATCGACCACCTCAGGACGGGAGCATAGTTGCCCCCTACCTTGGCCGATCCCGTTCCCATCGGGGCTGTGCGGTCAAACTCTTCCAAAACCAGCGCGTCCACCGCCCTGGCTCCCAGGAGGCCCGTGACGGGCAAAACAAAGACGCAAAAGGTATACTCGTCTGGTAAGATGAGGTTAATCTGCGGTCCAGAGCCGAAGACTAGGGGTCGGATATAGAGTGCCGCACTGGTATCATGCGGAGGAACGAACTCGGCATTGATGGACACAGCCAACGACACGCAACGGGAAAATTGATCCGTTGGCAGAGGAGGAATCGAGACAAACTCGCACGAATGGCGCAGACGAGCGCTGTGATCCGGGAGTCTGAACACATGAATATGTCCATTCGGATAGCGGAAGGCTGCATTGGAGCATTAGAGATAACGTTATAGAGTTTAACTTGGCGGCGGGTGTATGATTTGCACTGACCTTTCATGCCTTCGTAGGCTTGCATTCCTATTCTCCACAGTCAACGCGGAAGGTCACAATGTTTGGCTCGCTCGAGAAGAATTCTTACCATAATTTAACGCAGGAGACAGTCCGCTGACAGTCAGATCAGTTCCCTTGACCACCTCAGGCTCGCTCCAGCATCCCGTTTGAACGTTATATCGACATTGGACATGTCCGTTGACTGTAATGTAGTACGTTAAGATATGTCTACACTGTGGTCTTGATCTCACAGGGTTGTGTCTTACCCTCGCGAATCTGTATGCCAATGTTGTTCCAATCTAGCAATGTCAGAATCAAGTCGCAAAGAATGGCGGGCACGTCTTCGGCGTACCAAGATTGGCTGGTGGCGGAGGAAACTCGGATTCGGTCACCATTTTGTTACTAAATTTTCTTTAGATTGCGTCCAGTATGAATCGGGGCCTTTTCAGATGTATATATGCTGCATTTTAGTCGTAAATAGTCCCGGAAGCCATTCGGATAGTCGGACTCGGACTCGGGTCTATTAGTTAGCCACCAAGGCAAGAGATAGTCAACCCTTCGCAGCAATTCGGCCGCAGTGTAAATCAGTTCTCTGTTCAATCGTTACCATGATTATTCCCGTGATTGTGCTAATGAATACTGTAGGGTGGCAACTCGTGCTCACTGCCGGGACAACCCTGGGACTACTAGTAGTCGGGGGTCTGGTCTGTGTATGTCACATTCAGCGTGGTCTAGTTATCTAGTCTTTACTGACAATACCAAATCAGATTGTTGGACTAGTACTTTATCGACTCACCTTTCACCCCTTGGCTAGATATCCCGGACCGCTGTTGGGCAGGGTCACCAATCTCTATGCGGCTTACCATGCGTGGAAGGGTGACATCCACATGGACATCTGGCGGTGCCATCAGAAATACGGTAACAATTAGGGCCTCATAAATCCGTCCGTGTCAAAAGATAAACTGATTCTTTCACAGGGAATCATATCCGCTACGCACCGGATCGACTGACATTTAATACAGCCCAAGCGGTAATGGGTAAGTACCTACCTGAGCAAGGCGAATGTCACGCCGCGAAACTGTCACTGAGGCTGGATAGATATCTACGGCATTGGGAGCCGGGTCCGCAAGTCCAAAGTGTATGAAACGCTGGTCCATCAAGCGCCCAACACCCTCACGCTCCGAGACAAAAAGAAACATGCGCAGAGAAGGCGGATCATGAGTCAAGGCTTCTCGGACGCAGCCATTCGGTCCTTTGAGCCTCGTGTCCTCGAGCTGGTACAAAGGCTCTGCGGTATTCTCCAGGGCGATCTTAATAGTAACGATGGAAAATGGAGTAAAGGCCAGGACATGGCAAAGTGGTGTATAGTCCTGTCAACCTGCCTAAAATGAATTGCCCATGCTGATTGATCACAAAGTCGACTACCTCACCTTCGACATCATGTCGGCCCTGGTCTTCAGCGCTAGCTATGACACCATCCGGCAGGAAAAGTTCCGCCCCATCATTAACGCTATTGAAGAATCGAATGTTCGAGTGAGTGTTATTCTGCAGGCTCCCATCCTCACCCTTTTCCGGCTCGATAAGAGGCTGTTCTCCCGGTCGATTCTTTGGAGAAATCGCTTTATCAAGTTCATCAGACGGACGGTCTCAGAGAGGGTCAAGAAAAGTTCCCTGCTAAAGGAGCGGGATGTCTTTTCATATCTCAAATCAGCCAAAGATACTGTCACCGCGAAGACATTGCGGATTGACGAACTTGGAGGCGAGGCTGCTACGTTGATTGTCGCTGGTAAGTGTTGAGAGAGAAAACATAATAAAAATAACGCGTGTCGTAGCGAGGAATAATTCTTTTCCACGCAGGTTCCGATACCACCGCCACTACTCTGGCAGCAACACTTTTCTATATCAGCAGAGAGCCCTCCGTGTACGAGCGAGTAACCCGGGAAGTCCGCAGCTGTTTTGCGTCTGCGGAGGAGATCCACGCGGGGACACAGTTGAACTCATGTCAATACCTGCGCGCCTGCATCGATGAGGCTCTCCGGCTGTCGCCTCCTGCGGGGAGTGCTCTCTGGCGCGAGGTTGAGGAAGGCGGGTCGATGATCGATGGCTGTCACATTCCGGCGGGGTATGACGTTGCCGTTGGAGTCTACAGCATTCACCACAACCCAACGATCTATCCGGACCCGTTTTGCTTCCAGCCAGATCGCTGGCTGGAAGACGGACCTCCTGGGGTTCGAGAGGCCTTCATGCCGTTTTCTCTTGGCACGCGGAGCTGTATTGGAAAAGGCCTCGCCCTGGTGGAGATTCTCTTGACTCTTTCCAACATCATTTGGCGGTTTGATCTTGAACCCGCCGAGGGAATGGAGTACTGCCAGGAGTACACATTACAGGACCATGTTACAGGGGCGAAGAAGGGGCCTTTTTTGAAATTTCGCCCAGTTCATCGAGCGCAAGGCAAGGAGGATCATATTTGGAACGGTGTCGACAATGGGAGGAGCATGATGGCTGCAGGATATGTATGAAATGGAAAAAGTCACTTTGTATATATTAGAGGGGACCCTGCAACGAGGATAGCAGGGGCACCGACAGCCCTGCCTGCAAAACAGGATGAGAGCAAGGTGGTCACTGGGTGTAGTAGGGTGCTAGAGAGTAGAACACCACGGGGTGCCTACTAAGAGAAGGTGGTGTCTGCGTTGTGATCTCTGCCTCAGGTGTACTTTTATATCACATGACCGCTTATGTTTATTCTCACTCTGTTCTCTCTATCGCGAACCGCGCACTCAACCAATTGGCAACCGTCCATTCCCTAAACCCTTCACCCCGTTCCCTTCTCCTCTACATCCAGTTTCCTACGCCCCCCTAAATTGATATTCTCTACATCTTGCATGACTCCAACGTAGCAAGGACTCCAACCACCCAGAACGGCACGTCCACCACCCAAATCCGCACGTTATTGATCTTGAGCCACCCGGCCAACAGCTCCAATGTCACTTCCGGAATCGTATCTGGACTCATCATGCGCGTCTCAAACTTTAACATCGTGGGGGCAATGAATAAGTGCGCAAACGAGAAGAACAGGCCAATGCCGTAGAGCAATCGCGCATATGTGCCGGCTAAGTCTTCGGTGTGCACAAACAAATTGAGGATAAGAGCCACCCGCGCAATCAAGACGATACCGATGACTCCAGTCCAAATTCGAGGGACCACCGTTTGGAGCCAGTGTTGTAGGGCAGCGCCAACATGGTCAACCTTTTTGGTGGAGGTATAAGGAGGGAGAAACGAGGAGAGCGCAAAGTATTGTGCCAGTCGGTTGACCAATCTAAAGAATTGGAGTGTTAAGGGTAATCCTCTTTATCAAAACGAAGCTGAGTTGGCTCACTTACAGAATTGTCGTGGCGATCAAGGGAGTCACTCGGAGGATCTTCAGGGCCAGACTGTCGGCTGCAACGAGTTCAACGCCCATTTTGGTGCTGCTTGTTTCTTGATCAAGGGGATAGTGGTTAATTGTATAGTCACTCGGAGAAGAAACGGGAACAAAAACGAATATGTACTCATATAGAGCCTGTGCCTGGCTTGCTGCTGGCCTCCGTCGGATTCGGAGTCGGTCGACCATCGGACATGCGATTTTGTCCCCAAGTTCAACACCATACATAACATAGACGGACGATAGTTTCGCTCAATCCTCCCTGCTCTCAGTCGAAATGCATCGCTTTTTTAAATCCGATTTCTTCAACTTCGAGTTTATCCGGATTCTCTCCGCCGCCCCCTATGGCGGCGCCGAGATCGGGGAATGCCTCGTGGCGGCCAGTGATATCGCCAACGACAACCCCGAAAGCTGGCATCGCGCGTGGCTAGCACAGGCAAACAAAGCCCGGGCCCTGGGCGATGAGGCCATGCGCACCGGGGACAGGGTTTCGGCACGGCGGGCATTCCTGCGCGCATCCAACTACTACCGCGCAAGCGGGTACATGTTCCACGATGCGCCAAATACGCCGGATCTTCGGGTACTCCCTCTAGCCCTCAAGGTGATCGAAACATTTGCGCAGGCGCTTCCATTAGGCAACGGCCCGGCGTTTGCGGTCAGTATCCCCTTCGAACCGTATCCCCTACCCGGATACCTTTATCTCCCGCCCGCGTCGAAGCGACTGAAGGAGTCGGTACCACTGTTGATCAGTCTGGGCGGGGCGGACTCCATCCAAGAGGAGCTCTACTATGTCTATGCGGCCAGTGGGCCGAATCTAGGCTACGCGGTGCTCACATTCGAAGGGCCTGGGCAGGGGATCATGCTCCGACGGGATAAGACCGCCATGCGTCCCGACTGGGAATTGGTCGTCGGCCGGGTGTTGGACTTCCTCGAGCGGTTTGTCGAAGAGTATCCCGAGCTGGAACTAAATCTCTCCCACGTGGCAGTGGCCGGCGCTTCCATGGGCGGATACTATGCGTTACGCGCGGCGGCAGACCCCCGCATCCATGCCTGCGTCTCTATTGATCCCTTCTACGACATGTGGGATTTCGTCCGCAACCATATCTCTCCGATGCTCCTCGACGGCTGGAACAATGGCTGGATCCCCACGCAGCTGATCAACAGCATGATGGCCATGGCCATGGCCAGTTCGTTCCAGGCCCGGTGGGAAATTGGATTGGCCATCTGGTTCTTCGGGGTGAAGACACCGACGGATACCTTGGTTGAGATGATGAAATTTACTCTCCGCCGACCGGACGGTTCGAGTCGCCTAGATGATGTAAAATGTCCCGTGCTCGTATCCGGCGCTACGCAGTCGCTGTACCTCGAGCACGAGGAGACCCTCCGCGTGTTCAACGCCCTCGAGCATCTCGGGGATAACCGACGAGAGATGTGGATTGGTCGATCCCCAGAAGAAGGAGGGCTCCAGGCTAAGATTGGAGCTATTGGGTTGTCAGTACAGAAGACATTTCAATTCCTAGATAAACATCTAAATATTCAGCGGCTTTCACCGTCCCAGTCGGAGATAGAGCAGCTGTACATCAGGAGTATTAGGGGCAGGGGGTTATGACCTAACTGCAAGCGCCTGAGTTAATACTGGTTTATCTACCATCGTGCGCTTTCTACGAGGGAACTGCCCGAGAGACTACTTTATATAGCGCTACTACTCGCTATCGTGGTCGTATATACTCCAGGAAGTCCTCCGTGAACATCCTTCCTTCTCCACGTCACTTGTTTCTTGACCCATTGGAAGGAGCGTTTCCCTCCAATACGGGCAAGAACGCTCCATCATTCCTTCCAGGGATCTGTTATATTGTAACTTATGAAACTTGATTGACGTCGCCCACAGTATGCATTACAAAGGATTTCAATGCATACTTTGAAGCAAGCAGATAATTTAGCGATGTATCATGTTGTAATTTATTAGGTACTGTCACCGTCGGGTCTTACTCTTGAGTCTTAGGTAACTAGTTAACTAGCTAACTAAAGTGGAATGACTCATTTCGTGAGCACTGAAAGCTTGGGGGAAGATAATGATTCGTTCTAGTAAGAGGTCGACCCAAAGTCACCTGACCGACCCCATGGTTCACAGGTATGTACTTCTTTGTAGCTCATGCGCCAAAATTAAGAGGAGGCTGAATGCAAGCAATACATTCATTCGACACTACCCCAAGCTGCTCCCCAGAATAGACGACAGCATTTAAAACCCACAAGAAACCGCCAAATACCAACTATAGCCCTATACTGTACTCTGTACACGGAGGGATCCCGTACGAATTCCATATTACGGGACATAATACTACTCGTTGCGACAGCAACAGAACCCGCAAAGGACCCACAGCTGCAACAGGTTTCGATACGCCTATCCGCCAGCCACCGTCGTCGTCCCGGGTAGCGCTAGAGGTTCAATGTCAAACCGCCAAGACCTGCGGACCAAATTCGCTGACATTGGCTCCCGGGCGACCCGTGGCATGATTCTGTCAGTAATAGACCTCAAAGATGGCGAAGGGAAGGAACAGCTCGTGTTCGAAGTCATCTTAATTAGATCCTGACATGTCGGGGTTTGACCCTGATCCTTTACTAAATTTCCCGGGGTGGGCTGGACAACCTTCGATGAAAATTCTGGAAGCCACGTTGTCCCACAGGAGCTGAGTGTGGGGTCCGTTTCAAGATTTCAGGTTCTGGGATATGGGAAGGCTCAGATCTGTGACATGTATAAACCGCTAGACGTCTGGCGAATGCTTTGTGTCCCGTATGTTTGGTATATGGTAAAATGCGAATTTGCTTGGTGGATGGATGTGTGGGGATGTGTGGTAGAACTGGTAGAGGAAATGAGTGCTTCGGATAAATTAGATTGAGGTAGCTGCGGGATGTCGGATTTGTTGAGCTAACAGCAGCTAAGCTGGCTTTGGAAGCTGGCACATTGGCTCGACGGCGTTTCCGGTGATATTTTCCTGGTCTTGCTTGCCCCACTGGGGCTGATACCACTGCTTCAGAATGGCGTCAGCCTGCTGCCCAGAGGTCTCTGCTATCCAAGCCATAATCGACTTGCACCAATCGCGAGACTGAGATCAGGTTAGTATAGTGGGGAGTTGTTTTTCTAAGAGCCGGAGCCGCTTGGAGCCGGGTGTCATTCCGAGATATGGGTCCGCAATATCTGTCGGCGATAGATATTCAGCCACGATATCCAACACGACGGGTAATCAAAGATGAGTGGACTGTGAGACATTGTCCCGGATTCTACGGAGTACTCCGTGCTTATGGGTTGTTGCAATCTCTTGATGTTTCCTTTCCCGCTCTCCCGCTCTCCCGCTTTGTCTGAGGTATACGATACGTCGCGTGAAGTATTGCAAGCTTCAAGAAACATATGTGTACTTCCCTTGGTATCCGACTCATGGCCACGTATGCGATCTCCCTAATCGTATGATCGCACGCCGCCTATGAAACGAGCATTCAAAACGCCCGACACCGTGCACGAAATCCGTAAGCCGTGCCTCATACAGACATGGGATGGAGTTGAATCCGGAATCCGCACCGGCAATGAAAAAAAAAGGCACCGTCGTAAAGGTACAACGTAAGAAAGTCGAACAGATCAGCCGTGAGACGAGTGATGGCACCATGCCGGTTCCGGGATAGTTTCCTCTGAAACAAGGATATCATTTCGAATAGGACCGGGACGAGTCGCAATGCATGATTATGGTTACACAATCAGTGACGTGCGAACCACGGGCGCCCTATGATACTGTTGCACCAATATCCTCGGATATGATGGGAACATTCATTCCAAGTTGAGTCACATGCACGGCAGGAAGGCGGAAAAAGGTAAAAAAAAAAAAGGAAAGAGACACACATCTGCCTTCCTGCAGTCGGAATCGAAATGCCCCAGGAGGGGTAGACAATCTCCAGCATCTAGCAACAGCCGGGTCGGTGATTGGGGGCGATGATTCTGAGCCAACGAGAGGTAGCCCGGGGTGTCGTATCAAAGAGAGAGAGGCCCGAGGATGGTGAAATGGCCTCCTTTGCATGTTTATTTTTTTCCATTTCCGTATTAGTGTGGGGTTATACGTGATCCTATGTTGTACAACACAGCCTCGCTTGATTTGCATATATCACTGGAAGCATCGAACACGGATCGAAGGAGTGGAGGAGCGGGACGAGGCTGGGCTGAAAGGGACGAGAGTGGGGGATGTCTGAGACGTGTCAGTTCCTGTGATGGCTTTCTTCTTTGGGTAAGCTAGTGGATAGTATCTGGCATGCACTGTCATTTTCGAAGGTAGAGGCCTGTCGACGTGCATGCGTCAAAGCGGGGTGCTTCTTTTGACTGGCTTCCAAGTTTGGTATAACCCAAAGAAGATGTACATCCGGCCGAGTAGCCCGTCGCCGGGGCTGTATTCCCGGGGGTGTTTGTATGCCTGATAGGTATCTCGAGAGGAAGAATGGCTGTTTCGAGTAAGTCAATCACAGCTTGCATGATATAACCGGGGAAGAAAGTGTACGCGAGGCTTAAGGTGATGGAGCAAGGACCCCAGTGAGGCGCAACGGTTCCATTCCGCTGGGTCTGTATAATTCAATGTTAGCATGTAAGATTGTTATTGGAATACTTGAAAGTAGTCTAAATCGTGCTAGGTAACTCTATTTTGAATGAGTGTTACAGTACAGAGATGGAATATATATTGCGGTTTCCCAAACTAAACATTTGAAATGTTACAGTTATATCATAGTAGTAATGGCACTCAGAAAGGGAGAATATATATTAAATTCTCCAGAAATGGAAATGGAGATGTTCAGCCCCTTCCGTTCTCCTGAAGATCAGACCCATAGCTCAGTACTCAAATTTTCCTTTTATTTGCCTCTTTAAGCAAGAAAAAACGAGTGCCCCTGGAAGGCCGAGCTTCTCAGATCCCGACAAGCTTGCGCTATACTCCGTATGTTGTATGTTGTAATGTGATACTGGGATTTCCAAACTCGGAAGGTCCCAAGGAACATTCGATGTACCTGACTTTTTACGTACTGTACGCGTATCAAAACACGTAATACCGTAACGAAAGAAATTTGGTTCTCGTTGCGTCTTCATGATGTCACCACAATCATTCCAAGGTTACTAACTAATTAACGATTGGGAGTTGAAATAGTATAGGTCGTCCAATTAAATAGATATTCTGGAATTTACGAGAAGATTAGTGTTGATATGAAAGAAATAAGTTTTTTTATTTCTCCTATTAATCCAATCGATCTTACAAAAATAATCCCGGCAATCGAAGCACTCCCCACAGAATCACAAAGGGAACAAAGAGCATAAGAGAGTTTTTTCGCCGAAGGTTTCGTCCCATAGGGAGAGCCCGCCGTCAAAAGTGGGGGGACATTATTTAGGGCTGTTGATCGTAGCAAGGAGCGGATGCAAGATTGACTGGTATGTATTGTTTACATGCACATCAAAATGGAGTGCAGGAGGCTGAATACCTCTGTAGGCAGTATGACGCCATTCAAATCTTGCAGATTACTCTCGAGTCTCGACGATATAAGAAGTCCACGGGTAGATAGGTATCTCCGTCAAGATGAAGAAGAATGACGTGGACTCTATGTTCGATTACCGTTACTACTATATTGACTGTACCAGTATTTTTGACCTTCCAGAAGGAACCATTGGAAGTATTGAGAAACAGAACGTTCCCCTGAGCGATGTCATATATAAAATACACTAGCTTGTACTCTATACGAGAACGACCCTGTCAAGTGGACATCAAATTCCATAAGCCAATGGATGACCCCAAGGATCTTGGAAGCAAAAATAGTAAGACATGTTTTCCTATGTACATACCAAGTCCTAGTTACCGAAACACAAAAATATGTAATTTGAATCTGAATCACCCCCATCATGCTATTAGCCTAGTATAAGTCGCATGTCTCACGTCAGAGCTGGGAATCATTCGTGCAAGCATGGTCTGATAGCACGGTTCTTCACAATAATGTGCATATGCACGAGTCCATGTATAATGTAGGCAAATGGAGTTCGCTAAACAACCCCTCTTCATCCCGTCTGTAACCCCCTAGTCGGATTCTGGTGGAGATCGCTGACTGGCTAGCAACTTTGATTATGGATCATCTAAAGCACCGTGATTAGCGGTCAGGATGTTTTGACCGACAGAAATTATCACATCGCTGTCATCGGAAAAAGTGGCTGTAACGAACGCGCAGATCCTTGCTTCAGCCACCGCTCTTTGTTTTTACCTCATTACTAGGTGGGGTAGCTATATTAGGGCTGACGAGGCACAATGGAATATGGATCAAAGACAGGACTCTTCGGTCTTTTGCAATGGTCTCTTAGACAACGTGGCGGTCTACTTTCTATAATCCAATAATAACAGAACTGGGTTTGATCTCCCTGCAAGTTTTAATCTATTTCGCTGTTGTGCTGTCGCAAGGAACCGAGGGTATTCTTCTAACCCGCCATAACCGCCCTGCACGATGTCACGTCGATAGCGCACAGATATTGGACAGGAGACACGGTCAGCAATAGATTCGGCTCAAAAATGTAGTTTTGAAGTTGCGTGTATACTGGGGCATATGAGT